CATCAGCATTACAAAACCTCCAACCCAGCCCTCACTTCTGCATTAAGAATGGAAACATTTGCTTAGCAAAGGGGTTAAACAGAGACATGTGATACCCCTTTCTTGTTAGGGGCCCTGCTCTTCTGAGGAAAACCAGGGGCAACTTAGCAATGAGGATAGGAATGTCTGGCTGACCGGAAGATTAACCTGGATAGGGACAGAGGTGTCATGTCCTCTCCCCTTCCTGGGGCTCTTCCGTGGCCCGTGTTGAGGGCTGACCATTCCTCTGAAGGCAGGAGAGGGTGCGCTGCACTGGCCTGCACTTTGGTCTGAGTAAGTTTCCCTAGCCTCTCCCCAGCCTCCAAGTGTCAAGCAGGAAAGATCTAAACAGTCAAGACCAGGAAAATACAAAGGCATGCAGTAACATTCAGAAAAAGTTGTTTTTGGAAGTAAATTCCCCAGTTTCTATAGTTGAGCCTCCAAGAAACACATCCCCTTTGGATGTCTGGACATTTCCAAGGAAACTTTATCTGAAAGAGGCTATAGAGGGCCCAAGTTACTAGAAAGGCAGTGTTGAGTAGTGGTTAGGCATTTGGGCTCTGGAAAGAGACTCGTGTCTGAATCATGACTCTACCACAGGTGCTCTGGGACCTTCAGCGTGACATCAAGCTTCAGTTTTGTCGTCTCTAAAATGGGAGTGACCAAAGGATCGACCTTCTAGAGATGTTGTAATGGTTAAAATAAGGCATGGAGCAGAGGGCCGCACAAAGTAATCTCTCAGTTAATATTTGTTTTATTGGCTTATAGGGGTTGGTGATGACCGTCGAGACGGGAAAGCAGCACCCCCAAATCAACCTCCCTGTTTGGGGCAAGGTTAGCGAGTCCCCGGGAACAGCCTACCTTTGGCTGCTGGGTCCTGGGGTCCTGGATGTGTTCCCAGTCCTTGCCATTTAGGCTGTAGGAGACTTTGAACTTGCGCACAAATGCCCTGGCTTCCACCGCGGTGATGCTGTCTCCTCCACGGGCCCCCTGGATGATGACGCCTTTCACCATCTTGGGCACTCCCAGGTCCACCTGAAGCCACTCCTCGCCCGGCTGGGCCTGAGGGATCCGGGGGAACCAGCCCGAGCGGCTGCTGACCAGGCGGGCGGCACTGGGGCTCCAGAGGTACTCGCGGGTGGAGGAGGCAGAGATCTGAGAGTCGGCGATGAGGCCAGAGAGCATCCCCAGCATGTTGGAGCAAGGGGCATCTGGGGAGAGGGAGGAAGATACAGGAGGTTCTGCTGGTACCCTCCTAACTGGGACCACCCCCCATCAGCAGGGAGCTGTCAAAGAACCTGACTATCAAACACATTAAGTCAGAACTGATTTCTTTGCATTTCAAGGTAGGATAGCACTGTGGTTAAGAGCCCGGACTGGGTGCCAGACTGCCTGTATTCACATTTTCTTTGTCACTTACTAGCTGAGTGACCTTGGGAAAATGATTGAAGTGCTCTGTGCCTCAGTTTCCCTAGATCTAAAGGAAGGCTAATAGCAGTACTTACCTCTTGCGGGTTGTTGTGAGGATTCCGTTAGTCTATAAAACTCGCAGCACAGTGCCTGGCATGGCTGAGCATCTCACATGCTTAGCCAGAGACTTTCACATCCTTTTTTGATGACAAGACACCCAATGACCCCCCTGGAGGCGGTGAGCAGGGGAGCTCAGCTGAGCACTAAATTGTCACCTGGTGATTGTTTCCCCAACTAGATGGACCCCTTCCTGGGGCTAGGATTTTACTTCCACAAGTGTAATCGCAGCTCTTTACTGCTGTTCCCGCTACCCAAAACGCCCTTCCACTTAGTCATCATCAGCTTTACTCACACCCCAGCTTAAGAGTCACATCCTCAGAAAGGTTGTCCCCATACTTCCAGTCAACAGTCCGTGAGGTCCCCTCAGTCCCTCTCAGAGCACCCTGTCCTTTACCTACACACATGCATCTTAGTGTATGATCATCCCTGGACTTGCATTTGCTTATTATCTATCTTGCCCACCAGCCTGGAAGTTCCATGATGTCAGAGACCCCAGCTGCTGGCTCCCTTCTCCTGTTCCTTTCCCGCTCCCAGCGTGGGGCCTGGCACACAGCAGGTCTTCCCTCAGTACACGCGCAGTGAATGAATGAGGGGAGTGTGCGTGAAGAAGTGGTACCCAGCAAGGCAGAGTCTAGAGTCAGTGTGAGTTCAATGCCTGTAGACTGAGTCACAGGTAAAACCAAGCCATCTGTCTACAGAGGGTTCAAAGGGGAGCAGAGCCTAGGACACAGTCCTCTTCCCGACATCACAGGAGCCCCACTTTACCTGTGACCCGGCAGCCAAAGAGCTCCAGGCGGAGGGCGATGCCCGAGTGCCAGGTCTGAGGGCGGACCCTGACGAAGCGCGTCAGCAGCGGCGAGTGCAGTTTGTTCAGAACCACCTCCGTGGCATCGTTGTTGGCTTGGAACACCTGTAACATGAGACGCGAGTCCGTGTTATTGAATTTCCCCGTGCGGTTAGCCACGTGAGCAGTCTTTGATTGAGGGGGGTCAGTTCTGTTCAATTGTATTTCTCTCAACCTTAAAAATAATCAGTGGGTTTGTTGTTCAGTGCTTATTTCGGAAACACCGTGAAAAAAAAAATTTAATTTCTCATACTGCTCTAACTTGAAAACAATAAATGGTCTTCACAAAAACTTTTGGAGGGAAGGAAAATGTTGCCTCTGGGCTTGAGAGCAAAGCAGAGGAAGGGGCTGTGAGCTTTCAGAAATTGAGAGGGGGGGGGAAAGAGAAAAAGTAGAGTATCCTTTAAAAATGGAGCAGAAATGTCATCTTTTAGGGCTAGCTGACCTCACTCACTAGCTTGAACTTGACTTCCCCACTTCCTCAGGTTGCAGGCATACAGAAAGATTTGCAGTGTTTCATAATTACAAAGGGCTTCACAATTGTTTTTGTTAGTTACCTAGAGGCCTCCCTGCTCCATGCCGCGGGTGAGAGGGTAGCGGGCACCATCTACCCTCGTGCCCCTGTGTCAATCAACACTTCCTTGGTTCTTTCTGGTCTTTGTTGTAGGGTCAGGGTTGCAGACAGACCGTAGGAGTCCTGCTCTGGCTTCCTCTCACTGCAGTGCCCGTCTTGTAATGAAATCCATCCCTGTCCCCATCTGACCAATGCATCTCTTCTGGGAGGAAAGGCTTTTCGGAGTAGCTTCTAATCCAAGATGGTAGGAACAAGTTCTAGCGTACCAGATGGCCTCAATCAATAACTGCCATATGGATCTTATGCTTTTTTGTGCTTTCCATTAAAAAAGAAAAAAAGAGTAGCTGGAGCAAGTATACATGAGTTTCTCTTGGTTTCCCTGGATAAGGATGGAGGGAAAGACCAACTAGCCAACCATCCCTCTCAAATCATACCTGTAACAACCAAGTGACTGTAAGTCTACTCACAGCCAAGGCTTAAGGCTTCAAAGACTAGCAAATCCTCCTGGGAAGGGGGACTAGATGCTTCAGTTCACAGCACCTCCAGCGTGGGAGCTGTTTGGGCACTGACAAGGCTGGGACAAGAGGAATGGAGACCTGGTCTATTTGAATATCCTTGAGCCAGTCACTGTGTAAACACAATTAGCCTACAACACCCTGGGAGGTAAGTATTATTATTTCCACTTTACTGATGAACAAACAGGCTCAGGGATGTCTGTCTGGATCTTGAGCCCTTGCCGTGTTTTTAGGCTTCAGGCTTGTGGTTTCCTCCCTTGACTCTCACCTCTTTTAATAAATCTGCAGTGTTTATGTTGGTGGCTAGGAGTCATGGAGCCCGTAAGGTCCCCAAGCATGGGTGGAATGGAGGTAGGGCTGCTGTTCGGTGATGTGTTCCCTGTGTGTTTATAATCCCAACGTAGCATGCTCTGGGTAACAGCAAGGAACGGCACGGGAGCTGAGAGCTAATTAACAACATGTCCTTTTTTCCTTAGGAACTGTAACTAGGAACTCTGCCATTTGGCAACCTCGAACCTTTGATATTTCCCACTTGCAAAGGTCAGAATTAGAGCCATTTAACAGCACCTCACTGACGGTGGGGGGCAAGGCTAAGAGACATCATACCTTTGGCAACCAACTGAGGGGAAGTGCCCTGTTTAAGAGAAACAGAGGAAAGGAGAGGAGGAAACAGGTGTCCCCTGGTCCACTGTACTCTGCTGAAACCCCTAGTTCCTGATGCTAAGCCCACCGATTCCAGGGGAGCTCCCCCGAGCCCACAGGCCGCCAGCTTCCTCCTCTGCAGCCTTGTTGCCCGCAGCGGGCGCCAAGGCAGGACTGCCTGCCCACCCATCCCTCTCGGTTTCTGCTTGGCTGCTTCCTGCATCGTGACTGAGGACAAAGAGGGGTGAGAAGACAAAGCAAGGGAAGAAAAAGGGCCAAGAAAGCAGAAGGAAAGAGGGTTAGAGCCAGACACCTGGGAGAAGACCTAAGGAAGTGAGAGATGCCAGAACCTCTGTGATCTAATCTTGGGGAGGGATGACCGCAAGGGGGGCCTGGGAAAGCCCAGGCCACGCCACACCCATTCCTTGGCTTTCTTTTCAGCTCTGAGGAAAGGGCTGCAGGAACTGAATCCAAGGGGAGGAGATTAATCAGTTCTCCTAGAATTCAACATGAGGCAGAGGCTTTTTGTTTGTTTTTTTGTTTTGCTCTGGCAGGGAAGAAGCAAATGCAGCATTCTTCTTACTGGGGACGGGTGCTGTGAGCAGCGGGGGGCCCCCACTGGCCTGTTCCCCCAGGACGGTGACGGTGTGTGGCCTCCATCAGGAGATGCTAAGGAGTTCATATGAGGTGGGGGGGCTTGATTTCCACGTGAATATAGAATTGGAGCGTTGAGTGGAACTGAACTTTAACACAGCTGCTAATCCACAGCACACACACCACGCTGGTAATGCTTAGAAACCCAGCACGTCTTATGTGTTTTTAATACCCAGTTTTATCTTATCTGACCCCTTCACTTCTCAGCCTTGGCAGTCAACACCAAGAAACCTTCTCTATCTTTCCCCAGTCAGGAAACGATTGATTCTTTGGACTGTCTTGGGAGGCTGGTGGTGGGTGGGCACGGGGGTCCACGTCTGGGGGGGGGCTGGCCTTTGCGTGGATGCTTGTGGCCTCAGGCCTTGGGTGAGCCCCCTGGATCTCTGCCTACAGTGGCATCAGTCAGAAAGGGAGATAAGCCCACAATTTATCTACCTTAGGCCATGACCTGGTTGCTCAAATTGAGCTTCATTCTGCTAATCCGTTTTGCTCACTCTTCTGGAACCAAGTGAAGGCTCTTTCAACGTGGCCTCATATCATCTTTCCTGTTTCCAAGCCTAGCTCCTTCCTGGCATTTTGTTTGCTCTTGACCTTATGTTCATGTCTACCCTCCACTCTTTGGACCCTTAGCTGAAGGAATACCATCTTATTTTTATTAAACTTTTTCTATACTTCTCACTCTGCGGTGGGCATAGTGGGAACAAAAAAAGTCCAAACACCACTGAACCAGGAGCCAGACTCTGCTGTTAATTAGCTCCTAAGTGTGGGCAAATATCTCCACCTCCCCCGGGCCCCAATTTCCTCCTCTAGTAAATGAGCGGGTTGTATGAGTTGATTTGTAAGGTCTGTTCTGGCCCCTAGATTCTAAGGCTTTCCTCACAAGAGTTTCTTATTTAGAAGTGTCCCGGGAGTGTCCACTTTCTAACAGCGCATTTTAGTTCCCATTGTCCCTTACAGACTAAGTGCTTTTGTGGACAAGTGCCGTGGATTTTCACCCTCTTCAAATAGTGCCCATAGTAGGGAGGATATAGCTCAGTGGTAGAGCACATGCTTAGTGTGCACGAAGTCCCAGGTTCAATCCCCAGCACCTCCATCAGAAAATACATAAATAAATAAACCTACTTACCTCTTCCCACCCCCACCAAAAAAAAAAAAAGTCAAACAGTGCCCAGAACACACAGTGAGTGCCCCACTCAAAGGGAGAATATACCTTGTTGATGTTTTTGTTCAATCACAGTTCAAATTATTAATAACAAAGAGTAATGAATAACAATACCTCAGTCCTCCTGTATTGTCTTTTGCCCAAAGACATCAAAGTGCAGTTTATGAGACTCCATCTTTAATGAAATATTAAGCAGTTTCTATCCCTCCTGACCCAATGGATGTACAAGGTTTCTATTTTTCTCCCTGCGCCTCCCTATTTATAGCTGGTAAATGCTATCATATATTATACATCTTTATGACTTTCTCAATGCCTCTGTGGTTTCAGAATCACCTTTCATGTTTTCTGATCAAATTCTCTGAGATGGATTCTTGGCTTCCAGTCTAGGCATTGCAAGGTAAGGGGCTGTGTGCTTGGGAAATGATGCCAGGAAATTGGTTTTACTCCCTATTCCCTGCCGACTCACTCCATGACTATAGGCAAATCAATAAACCTTAGATACCTTGGTTTCTCCTTTAGGAAAATAAAGTCAATAACAGGCTTGTAGATAGACCCGAAGGTTCACCAGCCCTCCCTGCTGGCTCCTATGCCTGCGTGACACCCAGGACAGATGTTAGACTAGAAGCTTTGTCACAAGTAACAAATGGAGCTTCATTCAACTGGGGGAGTCCAAGTTCTGAAAGCCACTGACTCCCATGTCCCACCTCTAGGCCAAGAATTTTCAGGCTATAACTTGGCAGTGAGGTGTCCATGTTGCTGAGAAAACTCAGTGAATTGTCAGCGTATGGTGCACCCAGATAGACGTATCTCAAACGTGATGATTGCATTTTAACATCTGCTTTAAAGAGCTGAATGTCGCAGATGGTGTATATTTTTGTTAATTTTAAAAGAAAAAGTGTTAGTCTGGTTGCTTTATCACCCAAAGGAAACCCAGAAGTGTGTTCAAGGTGACTCTAGCTTTCTTAAGAGGTGGGGATAGTGTTGATTACATCGTAATCATTTAAAAAAAAAAACGAAGCTACGTTGAACATAAAGATTTCTCCAAGTGCACCTCTGTAAACCAAGTTTAAAAAACAATTCAGGGCACGAAGTGGTTTGGAGAATCCATTTGGTGCCTCGCTGAATTCTGAATGTGATCCAACACTTTCCAATTGATTCTTGAGACCTTTGGTTTATTTTCAGTAAGACAGCGTCTGAAAGCAGCAGCACTTCATGGATTTTCTGATTTGCACCTCTTGGGGGGGGCATCTGCCAATTAAATTGGCTGCTATCCAATATCCCAGTTTGGTTATTATCTACAACCCCCACACTTCTCCCCCCAGGAAAAGAAAATCAACATGTTTTGACCAGGCCTGTGAGCTCATAAGGAATGGACTATAATACTATGTGGGAAAAAAAAATAAAGAAAAAAATATATATAACTCTGATAAGAAACATCTAACCAGAAATCATCCCTGATGGCTTCTGAGGTCATCTGTTCTCTGATTTTCACCCTATTTCTGGTCACAGCCACCTCTCC